ATTACAAAATACGTGTTAGTAAACGTATTGAAATGATCGATCAGAAAATGTATTAGTTGTGTTGAAATTTGTGTGATTTTTAGCAGTCAAAATTTACATTGTTAATTGTTTTTAATGGAGCAAATTTTCGAAATTTTACATTGAAATGAATGAAATAATTACAAAATATGTGTATAACGTATAAATATCATCAAATTTTTGGATTGTGTGATTTTAGTAAATACATTGAATTGTTTAATGGAGCAAATTTTCGAAATTTTACATTGAAATGAATGAAATAATTACAAAATACGTGTTATAAACGTATTGAAATGATCGATCAGAAAATGTATTAGTTGTGTTGAAATTTGTGTGATTTTTAGCATCAAAATTTACATTGTTAAATTGTTTTTAATGAAGAAAATTTTCGAAATTTTACATTGAAATGAATGAAATAATTACAAAATAGGTGTTAGAAACGTATTGAAATGATCGATCAGAAACTGTATTAGTTGTGTTGAAATTTGTGTGATTTTTAGCATCAAAATTTACATTGTTAAATTGTTTTTAATGGAGCAAATTTTCGAAATTTTACATTGAAATGACTGAAATAATTACAAAATACGTGTTGTAAACGTATTGAAATGATCGATCAGAAAATGTATTATTTATGTTGAAACTTTGATTTGCGTGCATAATGTATAATTAGTGTAAAGTTCAACACGGTCAAGAATCGTTAAAAATAGAGTAGTATTTCGAGATGTACCCTTTGACCTTTCCCCCCCGTTTGATTATAGGTAAACAAACGGGGGGCGCTCGTCGAAGGTCGCGCAATTATAATTTCGTCTATTTATTATAGAAATAAACGCAACTGCAATTCTTTCCTCTTTTTCAATATATATAAAATTCATTATTCAATAACAAAATATGATGAAATTGAGTTTATTTTCAGCGCTGAAATATCGATGATACATCTTGGAATCGAATCAACACCCAACTTTATGACGCCTGTAGCATATACAAAAAAAAAAGAAGAAAGAAGCGTTCGAGATAGAGAAAAAAAATGTTAATTTAATTACGGAATCGATGGTCACGAAAATATCCTAAAAATAAATGTAATTTAATATTGTTATAACAATGAAGCAAGTGTTTGAGAGAAACAGAACAAAATGTCAAAAAATAAGTGTAATTTAATATTGGTACAAGAATGAAGGATATGTTTGAGAAGAATCGAGTTGGATGACAACAAAAGGCGACTTAACGATCGCTTTAATTGCATGAATAATTGTCGGATTGCAGAGAGGAAACGATAAAAAAAAGAGCGTGAAGGAATCGAGCTACTTGATCAATTACTTTGCGAACATCATTCGAATAATGTATTTGTTGCATCCATTAGCCGATCAATTGGCCGTGATACGAATCGATTGTAGGAAGGAGGAGGAGGAGAAGATAAGCGTTGACCGCAGACCGCATGATATAACAACAACAAGAACCGAATTATGATGATTCAAACACTATTTATATACGTTATGTTGAAGTTCGGTTTGGATCTGTGCAGCCTCAATCCTGCACGAGAATTCTCCGCGAATTCCAAGGTTCCCGCATCAAATTCGTCTGCATGAGTAGTCTCGTTTACAAAAGGAATAACGAAATATAAAAAAAATATAATAATAATGAAGAAACAACGACGACGACGTCTTGAATCATTGCCGAACGATTAAACGCATTCTACATATACGCGCAGATTAAAGTTTCGAAACGCTTCAACAATCTAATTTACAAATACAACAAATTTGTGTTTTAAATGTTAATCACGTTAACAATTTAACATAAATTTACCCTTGGAAATAGAACGCTCTTTTTTTTTTCGGGCCGATTCAAATCAAATTGTCTAGACAATTGCGAGATACCTTTGCATAATCCAAGGCTTCATTTTATAAATTACTTTACTTAAACAAACAATTTCATAACTTTAACAAAAAAAAAAGGTTAATAACATTAAGTTTGTATTATGTTATACAATTATAATATAAAAATGTTAAGTATAATCATTTTCTTTTCAATTTATCAAAATTTACTTTTAAGTAATTTAATTAACTTTTAAAATGATTAAATTAGAAAAATATAAAAAATGTAAAGTATATCACATGTATTTAAATCATTGGTGACTAAAATTTCGCGACTGAATGATTTTAAATGTGGAATGAAATATATTTTGCGTGGAATAAATATTGAAATGGAAACACGTTGTAGGAGTTTAATGCAATTACATGCGAGATGGATGCATTGTTGGCAAATCGATGTGTTCAACCTTGCTCCTCGCCGTACAAGCATAAATAAAGTGAGTAAGAAGCGGCATGTTGTTCTTATTTTCGGTGCTGCTCTTGTCTCTTGGTCGCTCGTCCGCGCTTCACGGAATTCAATCAACCTTGATGGGTTCATTTTCGAATTGAGCAAACACACGAGAGGAGAGAATCTGTGCGCTCGGAATCCTGCTGGCTGGAGTGCACGTACGTATTTGGCAAATGCGCGCGAAAGCGTTTGTAACATTGACATTGAGACTCGGGACTGGGTTTGCCGGTTTTGTACCGTCGTCGACGTCGTAATGAAATCGAGTTGATGATAGCTGAGGGAGCCGGCAATTAGGCGAAAACAAAGCCCCGAGACTTCCTTCATTACTATTCTTCAACTCTCCGTTGTATGTATCTCCCCATCAGATATCCGACCTGAATAATCACACCGGCGCGAAAAATTTATAAGGAATAAATGAGAAATGATGATCGCAAGAGGATGGTTTCCATCCAGTAGAGGTTTCAGGCACCATCGAAGATGATGGATTTGTATGGTCCTGTACCTGATACTGGCAGAACTGGTGGCAGTCCAGATTGTGGTAGGATTTTACCAAGTGGGTGACGTATTCCCAGACGCCTTCGGCGATAGCCCCACTGTCGAAGGCACTCCCGAATGTATCCACGTGCCGCACCATGACTTATTCTCGACTTGTAGTCGCGGATACACACACTAGAAGTGTATACAAACAAACGCGATAAAATTTCGCGACTGAATGAACCGCGCGCGCGGTCACGATACGCACTGGCTGGTGAGGAGCCGCAACCGCGCGTTTCCCGCGGTTCGACTATCGTCGACTTCTTGACTGCACCGATGAATGAAGGGGTCAGCAAAGCGAGCAACTCTCGCGAACGAACTATCAACGTTTCTGTTCACCGAGGTCCACTACCAGACCCCAGGAAGTCGCGACACCCCCTCAGGCCATAAATCATCGCATGCTAATGCTCGGAAAACCACCCTCTCGCGACGACACCCTTTGCTTTTTTTTTCACCGCCCACAAAAACCGAATACATTACAAAAGCCCACCTCTAATCGATGACCGCCAACTCTTATCATCTGCGGACAATCGCCAGACGTAATTGAGTCGTTACGAAACCACAATCTTTGTTAATTAATTAATAACCGCATACGACGTACATAAAAAGTGAAAGTCCAAAACAAAGCGCATCTACTGAACAATTCAAATATTCGTAATCCAACTCGTGCATTACAGACACATATTAGATTATTTATTTTTCAAAATTTAGATAATTCAAGTAACCTTAACTCTAAAACCATCACCACAATGAACCCACGACAATTTACCTTCTTCCTTTTCGTTTTTCCCTTGGCCTTGCCATTGCTGCTTTTGGACCCAGCTGCCTCCCTTCTGGTCACTACACGCCTCTCCACCTTCCTCTCAACTTTAGGCTTCACCTTGCACACCTTTTTCGTGACCACCACCTCCTTTTTGCTGCTGGCTTTGAGAGCCTCATCACTTTTAGCATTGTCACTGTCTTCAGAGTCCTCGGAATCAGATTCCGAGCATGCACTCGATGAACTGGAGCTCAACTTGGGAGCGCACTTTTTGTCCGCCTGTTTGACATCACTTTTGCCCTTATCCAGTACTGGGCTGGCACAGGATTTCCGCACCGTCGCTATTGTCATACGCAAACCGTTTGGCTGGGACGTCACCGAGAACTCAGGAGATGATGAACCTGAGGATGAGCCTTGGGATGAACTTGAGCTGTCCGAATCAGAGGAATCCGATTGACTGCATGATCCTGAGCCATCGCTCCCAGAATTCTACAAATTAAAGTTTTTATTATTGCATAGATTTAGTTTTGTTGTGGGTTTCTGTAAGTGTACGTACATTTGAATCAGAGTCAGAGTCGCTGTCCGTTTCGGAGCCCTCGTTGTTCTGGGCGTTCGCTGACGGTTCCACGTTGAGGCCGGCACTGAACGCTGTGATATCAACAGTGCTTGGCAACTCGGAGGGTTCTGGATCTTCACTAGGTTGATGCACCACACACGACCAACCAGTTAGTAACTCAGTTTGTCCCTCACTGTTTGCCATTTTCAATCTAAAACATATACAGTCTATCAAGAAAGGGCATCGCGTTTAATTGGATTGTGTGCGTTTCTTTTTTTTTCAAGAAATTGAGGGTTAAAACGGTCTTGCATGCAGCGGGCCGAGTAAACTGGAATCGTAATTGCCGCCAAAAAAACGACCTCTCAGTGGCCATGTTACATGGGTAGCTGCAGCTGGCCTTAATTGAGCGTAACGGAAAGTTTGGGGGGACTCGAAGGGAAATGCGATCCGGGAACTCACCTAGCATACTGTTGTCCCCAGTAACAGCATCATACCTCGGGGAGACTCCGGTCCACGGAAGACAATTTAAATCAGAGCATCCCATGTTTACGTTTCATTGCATATACATATATAAACATAACAAGATGGCTTCCAGCTGATCACGAAACTGCGATTTTCCGGGGGGCTGCGCACTTTCCGCTCGTCGTTCACCACCTCCCTCATGTCCAATTCGGACCTAATTACGCGGCCGTCCGGTTGCGTAACTGAAAACTCGGCATTTTCAGTTTTGTTTTTAAATGGGAAAACCGAGAAAATCAGTTGCGCAACAGCGTCTGGATTCCAACACAGATGCCAACATGCTAAACATCTGACAGATGGACGTTGACAGCAATGCCAACCGTTCTACACAAAATTCTCCCAATTAGTTTCGAGCGCGTTCCTCCAGATGGCCCACATCCACACATCAAACTTATATAATACATTTACTAATTATCCTACAAGAAAAGAATTAAAGTTACGTAACATTGAGTTGCCTACATCGTAACTTGTTAATAATTAAAACTAATTAAAAGCAATTTCTAATTGCACTAATGAATAAATATATTAATTCGCATATGATTTAAACTTATTAAGAACTATATTATTTGTAAATACAGTAATAGCATACTTCAAATATTTATATTAGTAAATTAGTAACATAGGTTGCCTACATCGTTTGGTAGTAAATTTACCTTATTTTAAATTTATCACAAAAATCCGATACGAAAGTGGCGAGTTTCAAATTTAGACTAAATAACAAAGCCCAATGTAAAAATCAAAAGCAGAGAAAAGGTTCATTACTTTTTATAATAGATGCAAATTCTATATGAAATATAAACTTATTAAGAACAATATTATTTGTAATAAAGTAATAACATACTTCAAATATTTATATTAGTAAATTAGTAACATAGGTTGCCTACATCATTTGATAGAAAATTTACCTTGTTTTACATTTATATTATTTATTTCATTGGCTATATTCGTCTGTATCACAAAAATCCGATACGAAAGTGGCGAGTTTCAAATTTAGACTAAATAACAAAGCCCAATGTAAAAATCAAAAGCAGAGAAAAGGTCCATTATTGTTTATAATAGATGCAAATTCTATATGAAATTAGAAAAGAAAAAGTATATTTTTTAAATTAAATAATTTTCTAAATTTAAATCTATGATTCAATGTTACGTAACAGATCGATACAATACAATTAACGAAGGATTTAATGAATAAATATATTAATTCGCATATGATTTAAACTGATTAAGAACTATATTATTTGTAAATAAAGTAATAACATACTTCAAATATTTATATTATTAAATTAGTAACATAGGTTGCCTACATCGTTTGATAGAAAATTTACCTTATTTTACATTTAAATTGTTCATTTCATTGGCTATATTCGTTTGTATCACAAAAATCCGATACGAAAGTGGCGAGTTTAAAATTCAGACTAAATAACAAAGCCCAATGTAAAAATCAAAAGCAGAGAAAAGGTTCATTACTTTTTATAATAGATGCAAATTCTA